GGTGAAATCGACAAACGAATCTCTTCATCATGTACTTTCATTCAAAATGAAGGTCCCCCTAAAAATGTAATCTCAGAAGATTCATCGAAACCAAGTTTCTCTTCGTATCTATAAGAAAATGTGGTTAGTGCCACTTTTTTTTTAACGGCTTTCGTGAGAACTCTCTGCACTCCACGCTGGCCTTCTCACCGCCTTTCAACCTTGTGTTGGGAATGTTAATCTGAGTCTGCCATATTGTTACGCAGTCCTCCTTCCCTAGGTCTTACCCCAGTCTCTCTCTTGCCCCGTAAGATCCGACTGCCCTCTCTCTGGTTCACATATTTCACTCGACCCTTGCCACCTCATCTGTGCCAACTTGAGGCGTTATTAGCCCTACCCTGCGTCTGGGTGACTTATTCGAGGCTCGAGCCTGTGATCAAGTGTCATGTTCAGGCCTTTGCCACATGAACCACGTCTGTTAAAAAAAACTACTGTCAGCCCACTAGCTCCCATCGCCGCCGCGTCTATCCTGTTTCTATCTCTAATACCAAGTCTATGACTTGCCATGCCCTAGTCTCTTGTGTACCAACCCACAAATGCTGTGGCTATGCTTGATTTGACTCGGTTCAATATTGAACCACAAACTGCGACCACACAAAAGGCCACACCATCTTGGTCTTCATATCTTCGATAAAATAGTAATACATTATTGCTAGATTTTAAACCTACCCATAGCAAAATAAGTAAGATTATTGATTTTAATAGAAAAATACATGTTTGCCTCTTCAGTAATCCCATTATAAAAAGTATTAATTTTGAGAAACATGACTTGCCTTTAAAGTAAAATTTGCCCTGTGACCCACTGGCAAGTATGGCTGTTTAGGAGAGTGGTAAACTCGCCCCAATGCTCAAGACTCGGTATCGAATTCTGTTGGGAATACTGAGGAGAACCTGGTGGGTTCAAATCTGCAGGCCACTCCAGCAGAGACGAGAATACCTTTTGGGAGACAAAGCTTAGTGAAATTCAATGGCAAAGGAGACCTAATCATTTAATTATTGGGAAAATTGTATTATTAAACGTTAAATCACTTTAAGCAACATATAATGACTAAATTCTTGCTAATCTTATGACAACCTTAAGCTAACAAGTAACGCAAAATGTTGCTATTACTTATTAAGCTGTTGCTAGCCGGAATGAGTGTAGGAAGTTAAGTGTAGACTACTTGTGGCTGTTGGATAGAATTAGAAAGATAGAGGGGGGGACGCGAAGTACTAACGAGAAAGATGAGGAAGCTTGATTAGGCTCGAATCTGGTTTTGACTTTCATACCACCCTCATTTCAAAAGCAAGGCACTCACACAAGACTTGTGCGATGGGACGCAATCACATGCGGTAAAATTGCAGGGTCAACGGAATACGTGTTTTAGGAGAGGATGCAGCTGTTCAGTTTCAATTGTACCCATTTCACGCCTCATCTGCAGCCATTTAACTTTTAAGCAAACATTTAATCAAGGCATACTGTCTCCAACCAAAACATGAGATGCCTAAGTGGACCAAATTGGACCAAAAGAAGTAGGCAGGTTTAAAGTCGGCCACCTTTCTTGACTTTGTGTTTTTGGTGAATTGTCGCTAAGAGCGATGCTCTGCTCTGACGATGTTCATCACATGACGGACGAAAGCTCAGCAAGGATTAATCGGAGACGCAGGGCGGTGCGCCGAGGACCTATTCGCACAAATCTACA